CACATTAAGGTTTCGGTGATAACCCTGAGTTGGGAGAATACGCGTTGATGATTTAAGTTATTGCTTACAAAAGAACTGCAATCCCCCCAGATCCCAAAGAAACATAGTTCTTTATCCTGTTTCTTCCTTTTATGTGTAAAAAAAATTAATAATAGTACAATCACTGAACCAAATGTTACTATACCAGTGATGGCTAACCTTTTTTCCATTGCGTGCCAGGAGCAGGGGGGAGGGGTTGTGTGTGCGCATTCCCACACCTATAATTTTATGTGCCCTGCCCCCGTGCATGCGTGTGCAACCCCCCCATGCTCCCCCCGCTCCTGGCATGTGATGGCACGGTAGGCCCGTTTTTTGCTCTCCCAGCTTCCAGAGCCTTTCTAGGAGTCTGGGGAGGGCGAAAACAGCCTTCCCCACCCCTCAGAGGCCCTCTGGAGGCCATAAATGGCCCGTTTTCCAACTTTCAGTGGGACTGGAAGTTGGTAAATGGGCCATTTTTGGCCTCTGGAGGACTTCCAGGGGGGTGGGGAAGGACATTTTTGCTCTCCCCAGACTCCTGGAGAGGCTCTGGAGGTGGGGACAGCAAAAAACAGGCCTTCTGGTCCCACTGGAAGTTGGCAAATGGGCTGTTTCTGGTCTCTGGAGGGTCTCTGTTGGGGGGGAGGCTGTTTTCACCCTCCCCAGACTCCTAGAATGGCTCTGGAGGCTGGGGAGAGAGAAAAACGGGCCTTCCCCACCACCACCCCGAGGTCCTCCGGAGGCAGGAAACAGCCTGTTTTCCTACTTCTAGTGGGCCCAAAAGGCCTGAAATTCAGCTAGCAGGTACGTGCATGTACACAGGTGCTGAGCTCGCGTGCCCACTGATATGGTTATGCGTACCACCTGTGCCACGCATGTCATAGGTTCGCCATCATGGTACTATACCATTTTTCAATTGAAAATTATATAAGTATTTCTCTTGCTAAGAGATTAACAATTTAGCGGCCTAAAGCAAAAAAAAAAAAAAAAAAATGAAACAAGACTATTACAGATTGCACAGAACATTCTCTCCATCTAAAATAAAGGTAATAACCCAATTTTTAGTGAATTCATTAGTTGTATTCTTTCGTTTAATTCTTTAGTTATAGCATTCAGTTTGTCAAAAGCATTTTTTTTTAAAAAAATGATGTTTTCCAGATGTCTCCATTTTTTGGGGGGGCGGGAGGGATAATTATGAGATAACTGCAACTCTACTAGTGGTTAAAATTTCATCAATGGAAAAACTTCAAATAAAAGTCCTGCGAAGAAGCTGTAAGAAATCTCCCCCATTGTCACAATGCCAGGTGTCATCGCTCATCTATTTACAACAATGATTCACTTATCCAATGCTTTGCTTTAAAGACCATAGAAAAAGGCCTTAATACGTAAACAATACTACGTAATTATGTAAAAGTAAATTACAAGGGGTCAGAGTTGGCTTGCTGTCAGGATTCCGACTGATGCCCTAATTAAATCATGAGCCTCAAGCCAAGCTTCAAAAGAAATCCAGTTATTTATTAGGAGCTTCATGTCGGCACATTCCAAGTGAAGCCAGCTCTGACCCCACATAATTTACACCCCAATCATGACCCTGTTTCCCCCTTCCCCCAGGGTGTATCATTAATCACATTTGGCAATGGAGCAATTTCATGGATTATAGAGATAACTCCCCTCCGGCCGCTGTGGGTAACCCTGGGAGACAGCCTTGAGAAAGATATGTCTGGAATGCGCCCTCTCTTTTTGGCTGCCGTGCTGCTTCGTCACTTTCCCATCCCCCTTGGCAATGGCAACTCAAGAGCAGGCCAGGGATGCTTTGCGAGATGACAATGGAACTGTACGGCAGAAAGCTGAAGCAAACAGTTTTGCAGAGAACTAGAAAATGTGATAGCAGAAACGCAGGAGAAGTGAAATATTTGTGAGAACGGAGACACAATTATTGATGAATTTTCTAAGATTCATCTTTTGTTATGTAAACACTTTTGGAAGGAAAATCCTATCAGTTTGAAATCTTTTGGACAGGATGGAAGAAAAAGATCCTCAGGTCAATCATTATTTGAGGGTGACTGTGTTCCCATCTCAGAACACCTAAGCTCCACATGAATTCAGGCCAAAGCTACTCAAGAAAATTACCTAACTCTGCAGGTAAAAATCTGATTAGCTTGCTCCTCTCCTCTTGGTTGCTTCAGTGTTTCCATAGCAGCTAAAACCTACACATAATGGAGACATCTGATTTCAACTCAAGGAAAGCTCTTGGAGAGAAAAGTAAAAAATAAAAACCTGGTTGGATAACAGGGAATAAAACATCCTTGCAGAATGAAAATTATACTAGACTTGAAAGGGAAACCCATCAGCTGAAGCTAAAGCTCACGGATGACAAACGAATCCTGTGCCACCAATTAGGTAGAGCATTGGGTGAAGTTAGATGGGTTGTCAGAATGAGAAAATAAGTACAAGAGGAAGATGTGGCTCAAAATATTCCAGCCTTTTTTTCTGCTTCTTCCAAAAATCTTTCTCTATTTTATCCCGCTCACTCAACCATTGTAACTTAGGCAAAATGTAGTGATCATCTGACTGAAAGCTGCCATTACGATCCATGAAATTTATATACCTGGCTGGCCTTTTTATCTTTCCTTCTTTTTGAGCTCAGTGTTCTGCCCCAGCTACGGACCCCAAAGAACGCAGCACACACAAAGTCCGTTCAAACCTTAGTTTACGGAATAAACCAGTCTTTTACAACAACGGATGTTAATTAATTGCATTAACAGCCGCCAAGAATTCAAAGAATAATAACTGAAAGCTTACTATGGTTGGCAGAATGCCCAGAAGCAATTTGCAGGAAGCTGATAAGATAAGCAAGACAAGACATGAAGGTATGTGAACGAAGTTGTTCCCTGCAAATTGCTTCAGTCGGCGTTCCTCCTTAAATAGGCTAAGGGAGTGGCTAATTAGCCCCAAGCCATACTCTTGAGGAGACCTCCTCCTGAGGAGCCACTCCTGCCTTTTGGCAGCTCTGCACATCCGTGCATTGAGAAGAGGCTCCTCCTCTTCATCTTCTTCACTTAAGGGAGCTTCTGGAGGTTCTGAAGGCCCTGGCTGAATCCCCCGCCTCTGGCACCACATCTTCTCCAGCCTCCTCATTGTCCGACTCGAGTGCCAGCTGCACAGGCTGCTGGCACAGCACCACACCAGCCTCCTCGCTGTCTGAATCAGCTACTAGCTGCACAGGCTGCGTACGGGCCACAACACTCAGAGACACCACAACAACAACAGTAGACTCCTTCCTGGTCTATCCCATTTTAGACTGTATGGTTGGGTAAATGCATCTTGTAACACACACACACACAAATACACCCAACAGCAAACCTTATCAGTGGGAAATAATCTCACCTTCTCAGTGGAGAAAAACTGAGTTCAATCACGTCACATTTTTAAATGTTCAGTGGAATCCAGTTTTCAAATCGAAAATCAATTGATCGGTGAAATCAAATGACCGGAAATCTGGCTTGCCTTGTTGCTATTTTTCCTCATTTTTTTTTTGGACACACTGACACTCTTGTGGAACATAAACATTTGTTGCAAAGAAATTCCTCCACATTATTCAGTTCTGGCTGGACCAAAATACTTTGTTCTCTCATTACATATCAATTGTGTGTAGCAGAAGGGAACAAATATACCGAGACAGCCACAGATGTTCCATTTGCTGATGTTAATTGTCTTATCGTATCTTTTAGCTCAGCTATTATTTTGCATATATATATTTTGCTTGGTGTATATTGGGATCTTAAGGGAGGGGGGCAGGGGTGAAATCAGGGGTGAAATGCTCCCGGTTCAGACCGGATCGCCCGATCTGGTAGCGATGGAGGCGGGTGGTTCAGAGAACCGGTAGCAAAAATCCCTGCCCTGCCCCCCCTCCCATACCCATCTGAGCTGCACAATCATCAGAGGCTTTTTTTCTACTTTTAAAAGCATTTTTTCTACAACCTGTTCGGCCGAAAAAATGCTTTTACAAGTAAAAAAAAAAGCCTCTGATGATCGCGCGGCTCAGCTGGGATCGTCAAAGGCTTTTAAAAGCATTTTTTCTAAACCTCTTCAGAGGTTGTAGAAAAAAATGCTTTTAAAAGCCTCTGACGATCCCAGCTGAGTTGCCTGATTGTCAAAGGCTTTTTTTCTTTTGAATGCCTCTGACGATCCAAGCTGAGTTGCCTGATCGTCGGAGGCTTTTTTTCTTTTAAAAGCCTCTGATGATCCAAGCTGAGTTGCCTGATCGTTAGAGGCATTTAAAAGAAAAAAAAAAGCCTCTGCCGATCAGGCAACTCAGCTGGGATCATCAGAGCCTTTTGAAAGCATTTTTTTACAACCTCTTCACCGAAGAGGTTGTAGAAAAAATGGTTTTAAAAGTAAAAAAAAAAATTGGCCACACCCACCCAGTCACATTACCCCCCAAGCCACACCCACAGAACCGGTAGTAACAAATTTTAGGTTTTACCACTGGGTGAAATCCTCTGAAGTCTGCTACCGGTTCTGTGAGTCTGCTACCGAGTGTGCCCTAGCGCAGCGCTAAAAAAGGAACATTTTGAAGCCTTCCGAGTCTGCAAAAGTAAGTAGAACCGCGAGAGGGTGGGAAAGCCGCTGTGCCACGTGATTTAGATTAGCTAGAAAGCAGGAAAACCAACAATTCTAGCTAATATAAATTGTGCACCCAGCTGATTCGCCCGAACCGGTCCGAACCGGTAGCATTTCACACCTGGTGGGGGGAGGAAGAAAAATAAAGTAGAACCCATAACCTCTGCCTACCTCTGCACTAAGGAATTAATATCCAAAGGCACAATGACTCCTCAGATCAGGAAATATGCTAAAATAAATAAAGCAAATAAGATTGCTGTCAAGAATGGACATCTGGCATTGAGGAATCCTACTATGTAAGGCAGCAACATTCCAACACCAGGATTTTGATGGGGAGGGAATCATTTAAAAGTTTATCTTACCTTTAGGTGAAATATGCCTCCAGTTGATTGTCGGATCTGGCCTTCCTGTAGCTATGCAGGTGAGACTTATGTTGCCACCTTCATTGATGGAGATGTCCGAAGAGATCTCAACAATCTTGGGAGGTACTGCAAGGACAAGGAAAGGAAGAAAGTCAACCCAAGAATTATGGAAGCTACCTTGTTTCCCTGAAAATAAGACTGGGTCTTATATTAATTTTTGCTCCAAAAGACGCATTAGGGCTTATTTTCTAGTTAGGCCTTATTTTGGGGAAAATATGGTACTAAATGCAACCAAAACAAACACATGTCCAGAAACCAGAAACTATTGGAGTAGAATTAAAACATGGCTAGAAGAAATGATTCAACAACATATTGACTTAAAACCGGAGCTGTTCCTATTGGGTATCCTACCAGAGAAAATTAATAAAGAAAATATATATTTGATTATACATGTAATAACTGCAGCGAGGATAGTATTTGCGCATAGATGGAAAGCAGAGAAAATCCCTTCAGAAAGGGAAGTAATTAAGAAAATTTTAGACTGTGCAGAAATGAATAAATTGACTTTGATAATTAAAGAAAGAGAGGATATGGAATATTTATATTGGTGGCGCAGCAGACTAAAGTACTGTTAAGTAACACCAGCTGCCTGCAATTACTCCAAGTTCAATTCTCACTAGGCTCAAGGTTGACTCAGCCTTCCATCCTTTCAAGGTAGGTAAAATGAGGACCCGGATTGTAGGGGCAATAAACTGACTTTGTATAAAAAAGAACACCACTTAGAGGGGGCCGAAAGCCCCCCTATATACAAAAGTACGAAGGCTATTGCTTAACGCATTGTAAGCCACCCTGAGTCTCTGGAGAAGGGCGGCATATAAATCGAACCAATAAATAAATAAACAATAAATAAATATTTTAAGATATGGAGATAATTTTATCATTGGTTAGAGAAGAGATATAGACAAATATATTAATAGTAAAGAAGAGAATGTTATAATAAATGGATTGTGGGGAGAATGTTCTAACAAAAGAATGGAAAATATTACGAAAGGATGAAGATAGGAGGAATAATAATAATAATAATAATAATAATAATAATAATAATAATAATAAAAATAATAATAACCATGACTGTGTTGCTAAGATCATTCACTGGAAATTGTGCCAGAAGTTTGGATTTGAGTACAGCAAAAACCACTGGGAACATCAGGTTGAGAAAGTTTTAGAGAATGAGAAACTCAAGATCTTGTGGGACTTTAGGATTCAGACTGACAGGCACTTGGTCCACAACACACCTGACATAACAATAGTTGAAAAGAAAAAAGTATGGTTCATTGACATTGCAATACCTGGTGATGCACGGATTGAAGATAAGCAGCAAGAAAAAATCACAAAGTACCGGGATTTGCAAATTGAAGTTGAGCGACTGTGGAAAAAGAAGTCATGTGTTGTCCTGATTGTAATTGGAGCCCTTGGAGCAATACCCAAAGGGCTACCCCGCTATTTAGAAATTCTAAATTTGCCAGACTTGAACATTTTGACTCTACAAAAAACCACCTTACTCGGAACAGCTTACATCCTCCGATGATACCTTAACAGTTCTTAGGTCCTTGGTTAGGACTCGAGCTGCTGAGCTATTAACCAGCCTCAAAGGCTGTGAATCTCACTAAAGATTAAATAATAATAATAATAATAATAATAATAATAATAATAATAATAATAAGGCGGCACTGAAGAAACATCCAGATGACACACTGAATGACTGATTATGACTGACAATCTTAACAGGGGCTTATTTTGGAGGTAGGGCTTATATTATGAGCATCCTGAAAAATCATGCTAGGATTTATTTTCTGGTTGGATTTTATTTTGGGGGAAACAGGGTATAATTTTTGAAAATTCTTTGGGAGAGGCCACCATTCAGTAGTGATATACAGAATGTGAGGGTGAAGGAGCCTTGGTAGTACGGTGGACTAAAGCACACTGTTATTAACATCTGCTGCCTGCAATTACTGCAAGTTCAAATCAAACCAGGCTCAAGGTTGACTCAGCCTTCCATCCTTTCTAAGGTAGGTAAAATGAGGACCCGGATTGTGGGGGCAATAAGCTGACTTTGTATAAATATACAAAAGTATGAAGGCTATTGCTTAACGCATTGTAAGCCGCCCTGAGTCTCCGGAGAAGGGCGGCATATAAATTAAAGCAAAAAAAAAAAGTTCATTCTCCGAGCTGGTGAGTTGATTTCCAAACATTTCATTATCAGACTAGGTAAACATCTTCAGCAGAATTTAGGGGATGTCGGTGTTTCTGTTCTTCTGGTTATAAGGGCTTTGTATGGTCAGTAGGTCTTGTGATGGGGAGGTCACCTCAGGTGAGGGTCGTGTGATGGGTCAGGTGTGGGTTGTGTCAAGTGGGGGTCTTGTGATGGGCTTTGTGATGGGACCAACCCACAAGCTTGGAGAACCAACCTCCATCCTTATTCTGCACCCAAACTACAGGTAGTCCTCGACTTACAACAGTTAATTTAGTGACCATTCAAAGTTACAACGGCAATGAACAAAGTGACTTATGACCATTTTTCACACTTACGACCGTTGCAGCATCCCCACAGCCACATGATCAAAATTCAACTGCTCGGTAACTGACTCGTATTTATGACGGTTATGCAGTGTCTCGGGGGTCACGTGAAAAGCTTTTGTGACCTTCAGACAATCAAAGTCAATGGGGAAGCCAGATTCACTTAACAACCACGTTATTAACATAAGAACTGCACTGATTCACTTAACAACGGTGGCAAGAAAAGTCGCAAAATGGGGCAAATTCACTTAACAAATGTTTCACTTAGCAACATGAATTTTGGGCTCAACTCTGGTCATAACGTGAGGACTACCTGTACAGATATTCACTACTATCGCATACAGAATGTGACATTCAAAACCTTAGCTTCCTCAATTTTTGCAGGGGAATTTCTTAATGGAAACTATGGAGAACCACAGTTGGTCAATGATCATCATGTTGGATTAAATTGACCAGTGATTCGACTCAATATAATGGACCATTCACTGTGGTTTTATTGAACCACAATAGAGATTAGTTTCCTGCAGAAGGATAAGCAACAGAAATGGAGATGGCCCTCAAAGCAATTCGGCCAAGCCTTGAAAGTATCATCAACTTTCATCCAAGATATAATAATATTTCTGTTCATAGCTTTACCCATAATTATTTTTGTTGAGAAGAAGAAGAAGGAGGAGGAGGAGGAGGAGGAGGAGGAGGAGGAGGAGGAGGAGGAGGAGGAGAGGAGGAGGAGGAGGAGGAAGTTGAAGAAGAAGAAGAAGGAGGAGGAGGAGGAGGAAGAGGGAAGAGGAAGAAGAAGGAGGAGGAGGAGGAGGAGGAGGAGGAGGAAGAGGAAGTTGAAGAAGAAGAAGAAGAAGAAGAAGAAGAAGAAGAAGAAGAAGAAGAAGAAGAAGAAGAAGAGGCAGCATTTTGCATACTAGCCTTTTAAAATATGTTATATTCTAACTGTTCCCAGACAAAAATAACTCAGAAGGATGAATGGGTGGATAAGCTCCCCGCTTATAAACTCTAGGTAAATGTAAAGGTAAAGGTTCACCTCGCACATACATGCTAGTCGTTCCCGACTCTAGGGGGTGGTGCTCATCTCTGTTTCTAAGCCAAAGAGCCAGCGCTGTCTGATGACAATTCCGTGGTCATGTGGCCGGCATGACTAAATGCCGAAGACGCACGGAGCGCTGTTACCTTCCCACCAAAGGTGGTCCCTATTTTTCTACTTGCATTTTTTACGTGCTCTCGAACTACTAGGTTGGCAGAAGCTGGGGCGAGTAACTGGAGCTCACTCTGTTACGCGGCACTAGGGATTCGAACCGCCGAACTGCTGACCTTTCGATCGACAAGCTCAGCATCCTAGCCATTGAGCCACCGCGTCCCCTTATAAACTCTAAGTATGTTTAATTGGGTAATTGGATCAATTCAATTCAAACCTTCATTGTCAGAGTACAACATGTGTACAATGAGATTGGCTGAGCCTCCCTTCATGCACCCCCCCCAACACAACACAACTCACAGTGAAAGACAAAAAGAAAATCCTTAGCTCTGTGAATCCTGCTGACAAACATTCAGTCCTACTGCACCATTTGAACTTATTTCACGTCAATCGTGCTCTGTTGTTGTAGAGCTATTTTTCATTCAAGAGTCTGACAGCCCACAGATAAAAACTCATTCATGGATCAACTCATTCACAATGGATTGTATACCAATTATATTCTCTCAGATCACACGGTTTGGGAGAATACACCTAGCAGTGTCGATAAAACTCTGCTTATGAGAATATGAGCCAAGGGCAGAAAAAAATCCCATCTATCCCTTCCTGTCCATATGTCCTCGGCATACTATTTCATCAGTCCCATCATACATTTAACATTTTCAAAACCTGGGTTTTCTTTTCCATGACGTTTTAGCATTTATACACCTCTTCCCTCTTAGTCTAAAACCTTAGCAAATTTAAGTTCCCATAGCCATGTCTTGCATACGTCCTGATATTTATTTACCTGACATGGGGACCGTTGGTTGAGAGATGCTCATATATTTGAATCTATAATTAAATTATTAAATAGCAATAGGACTTAGACTTATATACCGCTTCATAGTGCTTTACAGCCTTCTCTAAGGCTGTTTACAGAGTCAGCCACTTGCCCCCAACAATCTGGGTCCTCATTTTACTCACCTTGGAAGGACGGAAGGCTGAGTCAACCCTGAGTTGGTCAGGATCAAACTGCTGGCAGTTGGCAGAGTTAGCCTGCAATACTGCATTCTAACCACTGTGCCACCACAATCCTTCCTTCCTTCCTTCCTTCCTTCCTTCCTTCCTTCCTTCCTTCCTTCCTTCCTTCCTTCCTCCCTCCCTCCCTCCCTCCCTTCCCTTCCCTTCCCTTCCCTTCCCTTCCCTTCCCTGCAATTAGAATGCAATATTGCAGGCTAATTCTGCCAACAGTCTAGGGTTCAATGATGGGCTCAGGGTTGACTCAGCCTTCCGTCCTTCCGAGGTGGGTAAAATGAGGACCCAGATTGTTGGGGGGAAATATGCTGACTCTGTAAAACCGCTTAGAGAG